GTCACTCTCGGTGCAGATGTTCTCTGTGTTAGATAAGAAATGTCAAAGTCACTCTTGTGGACAGCTTTCTTGTAGCCGCTCAAGCTCTGTTTCTGCAGAACTGATTTCACAATGAAGAGAAGAAACTGTCCAGTCATCCGTCTGCAGCAGCGAACAGAGGTTAATAACAAAGATTCACACTGAGGGCAGAGGGTGTGGTGGGCATACATTAGTGTAATGCTGGTTGTACATTTGTCCACTTTGAATGGTCATTCCACCGATCTCAATTTGATTTTCTCATCCTACATTTTAACATCTTGCTTTCTGCCTCTCGTACTGATGTAATATCAACAAGGGGGATGCATCAGTCCTTGTTTTGTGTGCTGCAGACACAGTGTTATCATCCTAATAAGACACAAAATAATAGAATGACTTGGACGTTACAGTGAACTAGAAATGACTTGCAGAAAGTCACACGTCAATAAATGTGTTAACAGGCACCCCACCGATAAGAAGACTGCACTTGACAGTTGACAAGCGACACGCTGTTGTCTTTCCTGCCTCTTTCTCACAGCTGATTGCATTTATTTTCATGTGCATGTTGAGACATTGTTAAGATCAGCAGCCATTTTGCCCGAAGTCCATAACAGTAAAGACAAACAGGTGTAATTACATCTGCAGCATGCAGATACCTCATTAACCTGCCCCATGGTTGTCAGCGTTTGAATGATAAGGATAGACAACACTATTAAAGTTCTTTGTCCTGGATCACATACTGTGGCACACACTGCACACACAGCAAAAACCAAATCAGTTCTGCTTAAATTAAAATGAGTTCTGCTAACTTAACAGTTGACAGAATATCTCAGAACAGCAGAGATGGTGCGAGATGTAGATTTCGTGTAAAGGCCAAGACTTTTTTCTCCACCCACCATGTGACCAGTGTTTTGCACGACATGCAAAAAATAGATAAGAGCGGTGTTTTCTGTGTGAAAATACATCCAAGACAGAGACCACAGACTTAAGAGAATCAGCTAAAAGAAACTAACACTTGTAATAGTGCAGAAATGGTGAAGAAATTGGGTTCAAGGTGGGAATATTAAAGGAAAACCCTTATTTAATAGCCAAGATTATACATATCCCCAGTTGAAACTATAACAAGTTATTAAAACATCCAACACAGCACAACAACACAAAAATGCTCAGACACACAGATGAACTGGCTGTTGAACTCTGACCTTTCAAACGGCTGCTTCACTCCCCCACAGAGACACAATGACCAGGAAGCACCAAGCAGGTTTCTTCACATCCACACACCAACGTCCCCCGATGAGGTTCTTATTATTTGAGAGGGAAATTTACAACCAGAAACGGGCTGGTTGCAAACAAGGGGAGCTGCTGATCACAGTGATGGACGAGGAAGGTGATTTGTGGAGTGTTTACAGCATAAATCCAAGCATCTGTTTCGAGTAACGTGAGAGTTTCTTTTCACTGCTTCTTCCGGGTGTTTTTTTTTTTAACACTTTCAAGATTTCTTTTCTTAGATATTGTAGCCATGCTGAACTTTGGGTAAGGTTTAAGGATATTTAATAAGGTATATGATCATACACAGTTAAACCAGAATAATAATCCCAACAAGTAAACTATTAACATAAATCAAATAAAAGTAACACAGACGCAAGCTCCCCGACTGCTGCACGACAAAAAGATTTGAAGTGAGAGTCGGCGAGAAAAAACATTTGTGGACCTCCTGTGTGAAAAAAGAACTGTCTTGCGGTCGGTAGCGTCCAGTAAATCATTCATTGTGTTCACACTCGTTCCCTATCTGACGGCTGCAGTTGTGGCCAGCTGAGAGCTCATGAGGTTCGGACTGGGCTTGCATGCAGTTGAATCTGAGGAAAAAGGAGTAAAGTCAGATTGTTGCTGGAGGAAAAGGGATGGAGATAGTTGAAAAGAGAGAGGGAGGGGGTTGTTACACTGTGGTTAGAGTTTTGGAGCCAAAGGAACCTGTGAGGGGATGAGATAGCATGATGTGGTTTTCATTGAGGTGCCACAGCAGAGTGGAGGTGCAGAGGTGAACGCACAGACTGAGAGCCTGCGACTAAACAGAGACATAAACCAGGGAAAGTCAGTTTAGCCACAATAAGATATCATGGCATGCAGTATACTGAGTAAAATCTACTTTTTGTTGTTATGTACGATACAAAAGATCACTGGCTTAAATTATTCTCTTAAGTCTTAATTAGTATATAAAACTGCAGAAAAGTCGACTGAATGTCTTTTTACACACATTTCTATTTTTAACTACAAGAACAAAGTCTGTTTTAGTTTCACTTGTCAACAGTCTGACTTTAAGTGAGACTATGTAACTTTTGAAGGAAGAAATAACTCTTTATGTCTCCTATAAATTAAAAGTTGAATCCATGAGAGTTAAAATACACTTTTGCTCAATTCAACACACTCAGAAGTTTTGTTGCTACAGCATAACTTTGTCTGGTAGGACCAGTTGCTTACGGAGGCCAACCTTTAACTTGATATTGTTGTGTAACTGTCACAGTAGCACAAGCAAAGAAAAAGATCAAGTCAATGAATTAGCTTTTCTTGTGCTACTGTTGGCATCATTATCCCCTAATTGTCACATGTAGCAGCAGCTGTTTAGCAGATATTCTCGCTTTAAACTGGATTGCATTGAGTCAAAATCATGACAACATTTTGACAAGCTGCTGTGCACTCTGCTCCTCTTGTCAACATTCACATGCATGTGGTATAAAAGCTGCAGCCTCAGGTATATTTAAAACTGCGAGGAGTCCCCTCAGTCGATCCTCGCAAGGGCCGAAAGGGGCCAAAGGTTGAGCTTCAGAAAATAACCTAATGTCTCTACAGCCATTCTCAAAAGTCTTTCTTTAACCGCACCTTTGACAAGGTAGACAAGTGCAGCGAAAAGCAAAGCAAAAACACAAGGAACCTCCTCCTCCGCTCCCCTGGTTGTGATCACTGCGATTGGGCTTCTATTTCAATCACATACTTGCTGTAAGACTACAAGACTGAGAATCAAGGCCTGGGGGAAGAGGTGATTGGGTGAGGGGGGGTTAGAGACCAGAGGCTGTGGCAACAGCGATAGCGTCTTCTTCACTCTGCATTTGGTTTCCTGTTCTGACTCAGTGTGTAACTCTGACTTTGAACATACTGTCTCTGTGTCTCTCTCACTGTTTGAGAATAATCAGAATGCTGTCAATGTCAATTTCAAACAGGGCTTGTTTATAATATTTGAAGTGAAAGCACATACTTGAATAAGGTTGAATGTAGTTCATGAGATGTGGCTGAGCAACCATAAGCTATAGGAAAAGTTTTGTATTTGTTATCTGTCCAAAGGCTTGATCAATGTTGCGTTCATGTGCTGTAGAAATGATTTAGTCAAGTCTAAAATCCTGTAAATTCTAAAGGGAAAACTGAGAATTAAAAGTTTAGTTTTGTCTTTGAATTATTTGTTGTCTGCTCATTTGTGGGAGGAGAAGTGAGAATCAGATCTTAAATATTCCAGTGTAGTCCAATGATCTCTCTTTTCGACCATTTTCAGCAATGAAACATTTACAAATCAGAATTTCTAATGCAAGTTAAGTGCTGGCATGATAGGAGTTATCAGAAAAATGCCAATCACAGACATGAAATGTAATCTAAAGTTAAATGAACACAGAAATGTAACATTTTGTATTGATAATTCTTCAAAGGAATAGTCATCTTTAAAAAAAAAAAACTGGCTTGTAATAACGAAAGTATATCAATTCTAAAAATGAATTTAACTGATTTATTTTTGTACAATGCAAATATCCAAAGTATAGTTATGAATCAGTGTTTTTGTTTGAATTTCATGGCTGATTAACATGCAAATTATTTTCTAAGGGGAAGAAAGAGAGTGCGTGTGTGTCTTCCTATGCGGAGCTGAAGGTTTTGTGGTGCGTCTCTCTGCAGCTTGTGACTGATATTTTAACATTCAGACCAAATGCGGAAAGAGTGCGGGACCGTGTGCGTGCTCACAGCTGGATGTACCTGCAGTGTCAGTGCTGTGTGAGTATGCGACATGTGTTTCAGCTTTATGCCTCGGCTATCTGCTTTGCTTGCAGGTCACTAACTTGTTGCAGCTGCATCAAACAAACTCCGTTCCCACATCGGAGAAAAAAATCGATACCGCTTTGCTTTGGTCCAACCTTGAACGGAGCGCAAATCTTCGCTATGATTTGAGCCTGTCAGATTGAAAACCTTTCCCTGTATGGTGGTTCAATTTGTATTATTTTCAATATTCCACTTGGCACTTATGTCTCCTGTATTTCTTTTAGTGGACAGCCTAATTGGGACTGCGTATTGGCCGGGAGGGGGTTTTAATGATGTAAAACAATAAGGCTGGAGTCAGTGCGGGTAAACTGAAGCAGTGTAACTGTAAAGGGATACGGCGGCTCCCCACCAGCAGGCTGTTGTGCAGAGCGGCCGTGCGCGTCTCATTAACAGGATCACATTACAACCAAACAAACAGGTCATTATCCATCACAGCCTGCATGGACCCAAACACACGTTTCTATGTCTGATCACATTCAAATGATATTGTTACCGGTCTGTTTAATCATCTGGCTTCATGAGACCTCAATTTACCAGTTTTTATATTATTTAAAATTAATTTCGAGTTTAGGCATTTATTAAAAATGCAAACCATTGTAATAGACTAGCAAACGCACAAATCCAATCTTATTCAGCCTCCGTCACATGTAACTACCATTAAAGACATACGACCTCTACTATCCCATATCTACTGGGATCCTTGGGGAGGGGCGGGGGTAGTCCCGCTGCCCAGTGACACCTGGTAAACGATACGGCCTCTCTGCGCATGCGTAATGGCCTGCCAAAAATCCCAACACCGTCTCGACTGTCAGCCAATAGAGTTCCAATCTGTCCAGAGATAAAGTCAGAGCAGCGTGGAGCGGAGAGAAGTGAGGTGGAGGATTTCAGACTTAAGCAGCACCGAAGCACCAGACAGACATGCCGAGGTCTTTCCTAGTGAAGAGCAAAAGGGCCCACAGCTATCACCAGCCCCGGTACCTGGACGATGGCTACAGCAGACTGGACACTATTCTGGCTAACGTGTGCGCAGGTAGGTTTTCTTGTGCGTAATTACGCACGACAATTGTTGGATAACTCCAGTAAGAGCGTGAATCCTATCCTACCCCATCCTATTTTCCACATCAAAATTGAATTATTGTCCCTCTATCTACAAATAGACACCAGTTGCACATTCGGTCAGTTTAATTACTGTGTTCTGCTGTCATTAGAGACAAAATCTCAGGCGGAGTTTGAGTCCAACTCGGAGCCGCAGGAGGATGTGAGCGCCGGCGCTGACAGACTGTCCCCCGGTTCCAGGCTGCTGTCCCCGGGGTCGCTCTCCTCCAGCCCCCCTCTGAGCTGCACAGGCAGCGTGTGTGACCGATCCTCCGACTGTGATTTCTGGCGTCCCCCGTCTCCCTCCTCCTCACCAGGTCTTTTTTCATTTATGTTTTTAAAAAGTGTCAGAGCAGTTTTATAAGATACAGCAACACTTTGTATGTTGTGCGTTAGGCCTATTTAAATTATGAATGCGGTATTATTAAACCAGTGACCTTATACATTTGCATGTTTAGTTTTCAACAGTTGCTATAGATTCATATCAGCTTTAAGTGGGTAAAATATTTTAAACATTCTCAGAACTGTTACGACCTATATCCTGATGTTAGTTTTGATTATAAGGAAGAAGAACAAAGATGGAGCACATTAATAGTCTCTATTAAGGGGCCAAAATAGTGACATCTAGGAATAGGAAATAGTCTTCATTGATATGCCTACTTTATGATATTTTGAGTTAATAATTGATTTAATTAAAATCAATTGTAATTGCGGGGACTTGAGGGTTTTAATGGTTTTCTTCTTGTCTAAAGTTATTACGCATGTCGCGTATCCATTTACGGCTATTTCAAAACGATCACATTTTAAAACACGCTCAGAGCTGCAGATCGCACATCAATAAGAACATCCACTCACCCTGAATCCAAATCAACTTCCAGATTCAGAGAAATGCTCCACTCCCTCAGCGGAGGACGGCCACTTCAACATCCCGATCTTTCCTTACTCCTGGACGGCGTACTCCGGCTCTGAGCTGAGGCATCTGGTTCAGGGGCCATATCACCGCCACCTCCAGGGCCACAGGGAGCCGCACTCACCCGTCAGCGTATACGCTGCAGAGGACAGTGGCGCCGAGCCGCAATACGCACAGCGGGGCCCGGTGGCCGGATGCTACCAGGACTTTTCTTCAACGGCCCACCAAATCTGCAGGATGCGGGATGTAGACAAGCTATATGTGGATGTAAATCAGAAGTCCCGCGCTGGGGAGATCAAGTCTGAAAATGATTTGATTTGCTCTAACATCGAGTCAAGTGGATCCTATAAGTGCATTACATGTTGCAAGGTACGTTTACCAATGTTTACTGAAGCGTGACATGGTCGAAACCATGATATTGTTCTGATTTAGTTTGAGTTTACTGAGATGTTACAAATGATCGTAATGTTTTTTGGTGATCAGGGTATATATGACATTATGTCCAATGAGCTAAAATTCACTTAAGACATTAACTGTGTGAACAGCAATGAGACCAGTAGGCCTCTACATTTTCCCATTTTAGTTTGACATCGAGGTAAAAATGTGTTTTTCCATAGGCGTTCTCCACACCTCATGGTTTGGAGGTTCACGTGCGGCGGTCGCACAGCGGGACGCGGCCGTTTGAGTGTGGGATTTGTGGGAAAACCTTCGGACACGCAGTGAGCCTGGATCAGCACAGAGCGGTTCACTCGCAGGTAGGCCTCTCACTGGAAATAGACTATTGCAACAGTTATTAGGCCCACATCCTGGTCGCAAAGGCCCCGGTTTGCAGATATGCTATATTTGCCATCACAACGTCCCAACCCAGTTACTGTTTTCCTGCACTTAAATCTAATGTTAAGGCCTTCCACGCTGACATTTTACATGCTTTACAGGAAAGGAGCTTCAGCTGTAAAATCTGCGGCAAAACCTTCAAGCGCTCCTCCACGCTGTCCACGCACCTGCTCATCCACTCGGACACGCGCCCTTATCCGTGCCAGTACTGCGGGAAGAGGTTCCACCAAAAGTCAGACATGAAAAAACACACTTTCATTCACACAGGTGAGACACTGCGTGAACTAAAAAGTCATCAATAAATGCAAAACAACACGAGCCATTGCTAAATGCCTCACCGTGTGTAATGCGTAAAATGGCTCTGACATATTGTGTGATCTCGTTACCGCTGCAGGTGAGAAGCCTCACAAGTGTCAGGTGTGCGGGAAGGCCTTCAGTCAGAGCTCCAACCTCATCACGCACAGCAGGAAACACACAGGCTTCAAGCCTTTCGGCTGCGACCTCTGCGGGAAAGGTTTCCAGAGGAAGGTGGACCTGAGGAGACACAAGGAGACGCAGCACGGACTCAAATGAGCAGACTTCGATGCTTTAGCATGAAATCTTGCACTTTTATTGTACTCTGATATTCATATGCTCGTGTTTTATTTTATTTTATTGTTTGTTGTATTGGCCTACTCTTCCCCTTATTGTTGAATGTTAATTATTTAGCCTGAGATATTTTGGGTGATTTTATGGAAATAAAAGTTTATTTATCAATTGTGTTTTTACATTTTTATTAAAATATAAACGCAAAGCCTTCAGACTGTAAACATTGATTTCAGAAATGAAATGTTTATTAATAATTTCTAAAATTAATTATCAATTTTAAATGACCAAATTCAAAAAATGCTCCCACTCCTTTAAATTCAGTGAATTATATATATTCCGGGATTACACATTAACTTTTGGAGCCCAGTTGTTTTCAGTTAGGAATTGACAAGCCTTCAACTTCAGTCTCTTCACATTTAATTATTAATTTTCTAAATTATAAGAAAACATTTCTCACAATTTACAATATCTTTTTAGGTTTTAATCCACAATAATACATTCAAAAACATTTTTAAAAATCATTCTCTGCCCCAGTCCACCGATTGTAGTTACGTTGTGAGAAAAGAGAAGCTGTGTTCAGCCGTGCAGGCCATCAATCACGTCCCCAATCTGCATGTCAAAGTTATATCTCCAATATTAAATAGAAAAACGTTTTGCTGCGTGCGCCACCTGGTCAAAACCAAATATTTTCAGACACACGAATTGTTAACATACCCATATAACAAATTACCTTATGGTGCCATAAACCGCCATGTCAAGGACGTCTGCAGAAATAGCATCACTTTTATTACAGCAGCTCCTCCAGAACAGCAATAACAGCGTGTCCACATGGCGTTTTCACTGGGAAAAGCTGGGTGTGATTTATTTAGAGGGTAAACATCCACTGCTCTAAAACTTCAAGGATCTGATTTGCACACATCTCACCACAGATTGTGTACATATACTGTGTAGCCTACAGTAATGCGGCTACACAATAGCGACAGTAAAACAGCCTGCAGACCAGCGGCGGAGGAAGAAGTAGTCCGATTCTTTACTCAAGTAAAAGTATTAATCAAGAAAAAAGGTACTCAATGTAAAAAATGTCCCATTATATATTATGTCATTAGATTATTACTCATGCACTCATATAAAAGCAGGATTTTATTGTTGTCCAAACCTCAACATTATAACTAGTGAATAAAAACAATTAAAAGGAAACACAACAAATTGAAACTGTCAAATGATTGTAGTGAAGTAAAGAGTGCCATGTTTCCCTCTGGATTGTTGTGAAGTAGAAAAAGGTATGAGGAGACTCACATTTGTACTTAAGTACAGTACTCGAGTAAAGTACTTTGTTACACTCCCCTACTGCTGCAGACTCCACTCCTCTATCCTAGATTAGGGGTAAACACGTACGATAATAAGACCAGAGCTTTTGTTTCAAAAGTTATTACAACCAACTTTATTTGTGGAAAAACAAACATTACAGAAAATGTCAGATACCCACATATTTATTTCATTCAGTCAGTGATCTTGAGCGTGTATTTATTATTCATGTGTCCGTGTGTGTGTGTCAGTATGCCGGGGTTTTAAACAGCTGGACTATGTTCGGAAGGTCCTGCTCCTGCAGACCGAGCTCCTCCATCAGTGTGTTCAAATACTCCGCTGATGTTGGCGTCTCCAAAGCTTCTCGTAGCACCGGAGACACCTCCGACAACCTGAAACACAAAACACACACAATCACACGCTGACCGCAGCCTTTTGTTTTAAAGTTTTTGGGTAATTATTTCAGTTTTACAGATCGACAAAATCGCATGAGTGTTAATCAACTACGAATTTCTTTGGTCCAGGACAGCCCCACTTGTGAGTAAAACACAGTTCACATGTTTTATAAATTAGGCCATGCACTAGATTTAAGGGGGTTCTAGCTTTAACTCAGCAAAGAATCTCTGCTCGCTGCTAACATCAGTGTGTTTACATGCACATGAGCATCCTGGTTTTGAATCTTCTTCAGGATATGACGTTGTTTACATGGAACATGAGAAACCTGGTTATTCATCGCCCTGCACACGTGATCATAACAGTATGCAGCTTTCTGATCGTCTGTGTGCAGTTGTCTCTTGATTCCTGAACATCTCGGCCAATTATTTCTCTCTGCACAGAGAGCAGTGCAAGGTGTTTACAGTATCCTGGTAGTGGAGCACTCCAGCTGTCATATCCAGGTTTCTAGAAACCAGGATCTGAAGTTTACATGAGCAACTCATGACTGAGATGCTCTAAAAACATGATCAAAACCAGGATACTTGTCACTCCATGATGACCCGAATCTTCCAGTAATGTATAAGTAAACTCATGTACAAACCTGACAGACTTCAGATGCAAGACATTTCAAACTAGGCTAGGTGTACCCAATAAACTGGCATCTGAGTGTCATTATTCCTGCCATAACAAGACATTTCACATGTACAGAAACTGTGCCATCATCTATCAAATCAGCACAGACCAGCAGCCCTACGTAAAGACTTTACCTCCACTGTTTGCAACCTTCCACCTGATCTCCATCACCTCTCTAACCCCCGTCCGTCCGTCCCTCACCTCCCCCCCCGCCCCCTCTACCTGTCCTGTCTACCTGTGTGGAGGTGCACTGCTGGTTAATCTCCGGTTCACCCCAGGGTCTAGTGTTGCAGGGGGGAGCATCCATTATTCAGCCGGCCTGAACAATAGCAGCCAGACCAGCTCCGCAGCTGCTACGCAGCAGACAGATAAGGCAGCACAAGAAATTATTCATGATGGAGGAATGGAAGGAACGGAGAAGCTTGAAGTTAAGTTGGAACTAATGAAATCATAGAGTAGCAGTGGGACATGATGTGACTAAATGTTTCTGGGAGGGTTAGCTCATCAAAGACGGATAAAATAAAAGTCAACTCAAGAGATGATGAGGCATCTTGTGGCTTGACCAGAAACCATTCACGCTATCTAAACAAGTATTAAACAGGTTATTAAGTGGTTCATCAGTGGTTTTAAACATTTCAAAATCAACATCACACAATTTATCACAACCCCAAAAGATTCCTGAGCATTTGTAAAGGATATTTAGGTTCATTCTAACCAGTGCTATTCCATATCACTAAACTTTTTTACAGATTTTTAAAGACAACATAATTCATCTAGAAAAGTCCAGTTTGTCCACAGATCCACTCCTAGTGTCTCAGCTTTGCAACTTAATCATTTCTATGTGATGCGTTTCAGGAAAGAGTTTGCAGTCACGAGGCTCCCTTGAGTTAGAGTGATAGATTTGTGTTACCTCCTGCCCGTCAAGCTGCACAACACTTTTCTTTTGTTACGTTCCAGAGAGTTCACAATGCAAGTATTGTGGTCTTGACTGACCTTATGGCCACTGAGGGAGTCATAAATCAGAGTCAGCCCAGCGTCAGGTGAAAGTTTTCCCAGCCGGGGCAATATAAAAATGGCTCAGTTTGCTTGGATGTATACAGAGGAACTATGTGTGTGTATTTAACTTGTACAGGGCTGCTTGTGTGTGCCTTCTATCCTGGATCACGGATCTGGAGAGGGGCAATCAGGAGGAGATAAGGCCATGAGGCGTCCATGTGTGCTTAGGCGGGAGCAGCACGGAACTGTCCCTGAACTGCCACACACACACACACACACACACACACACACACACACACACACACACAAGCTTTGAACCATAAAGTGAAGTCACAGTTCACTTATTTTCTCCTTTGAATGAAGAACAGAAGCAGAACTTGTTGCTTTGATTTGAGCATCAATCTGTTAATGCAAAGGTACATTTTAGCACGACACTAATGTCAGCTTTAGTTAAAATATGTGGATTGTCTTGCTTCTTTAAAAGTTAAAAGAAAATACATATTGCATAGATATTTGACTGCTGTTCATGTCAGCTTTGATTAGATCACTTAGCTCGTTCTTTTCTTTATTTCTGTAAAAACACACACTTTGTTCATACACTCACACACAAACAGATGCACACACACAGGCAGTGAAGAACAGAGGTTTTGGAGTTTGCTGACTGAGTGTATTTTCTGGGAGGCCCTTGATATCCTCGTCATATATCTTATTGTCTCTCACAACTAACCAGCAGACTGCCCAGCTGTCACGGTGCATCCTCTTCAGATTAAAGTAACACTTTCACACACAGACACACACGCTGTGAACTTACAGATGGAGAAGCACGACTGTTAAGAGGGTCCACCCTGGAGTTCTGTGGATGATGTTTGTGTTGGTGAACCTGTGGTGTTAAGAAAAAAAACACAACAGGTCAGTCACAACAAAGATTATGTCACGTAAGGGCATTTGTCTATGTGTTGCAGATCTATCTAAACACAGAACATACACATAACTCTGTTGGAGCAACCTACTCCAAAGGCAGGTGTCAGAAATCACAAGATTCTGATGATAAGTAAACTAGAGAAACCGAACGTGCACGAGGCCGGAGCGACCACCACAACCACTGCCTGCAATAGAGCGCTGATGTATGCGTCTGTGACAGCGCTGTGTGTATTCTTTGGCTTCAGCCTCTTGTCAGCGGGGCCTCCGACTGCAGAAAAGAGAATTCCTGGAAGCAGGACTCTGGAGGTGTTGCTCACTACACAGTGATTTAATAGACCTCCTGTTGACAACATCCTCACCAGCCAATAGGAACCCAGAGTACTTCTACGGCAGGAAATGTTCAATTCTGGTTCAAGTTTTAAAGATTTCTTAATAAACCGCTATACTGACTACTACTGGGCAAGTCAAAATACTCAGTAAATTTCTATTATGTAACAAATGCAATTACAAAAGGCAGCAATCCATCTCAGGACCTGTGCTGATCTCCCTGTTTGAGTGGGACAACTATTCTTAAAGGCACTTTTCATTGAAGACATTTGAACATGTACAGGTGTAAATAATAAAATGAATTTAATTTAGCTGCTTCAGTTTCAGCGCCCTGGTATTGTGCATGCTGGTTCACTGTCACGGCGTATTTAAATAGCCTCGTTAACATTATAATTATTACCAGCTGTGCTTTACCTGCTGTGGAAAAAGCACTATTATTGTTTTGTGAAGTTTAGTGATCTCATGTAATTCCTGCATTGCTCCACCGATCTTTAACCAGAGCTCATTTCTAAACAGCCTGAAGGCAGCAACACTTGTGTACTTCACCTTAAAAACATGTAATACTGTTTGTAGTCAATGCAACAACAGATTAACACAGAGTGTGTTTTCTACCTGCATCTGCATCCATCTTTAACAGTCTCAAGCAGATTGTGTTTTTTTTAAACTCTTGACAGGCCAAAAAAATGCCACGATGACACTGGAAAATAGTTCCTCAAAACGCTACATGTACAATACACCATTAAATAAACACATGTGAATGTGTGTAGTAAATGTGGTGCAACAATAAGCCTCTTTCACAGCAGACATTTTGACTTCATCATAACAATGAAAATCTTAAACGTTATTAATCACACTAACAATTGACTATGTTACATTTAAATATCCACCGCATGCACAATATGAAGGTACTGGAACAAAAGCCCCTAAACACAATATAGACATAATTCATGTTAATAACTTCAGCTGAGCTTGTTCTGCTGTAACATGTCTGCTGTGAAAAGAAGTCCATAGACAGCTGATGAAACTCTTGTTGTCATGTTTCATGTCTTCCAGTAGGAGGAAGCAGAGTTCTTCATCAAATCTAACGAGAACGTTGTGGATTTTAAAGAGACAGTTACAGGGAAGAAGAAAAATATGTATTTTTGATTTTGGGGTGAACTGTCCCTTTCAATGAAATCAATGTGTTAACTACAAGTTCTAGTTTCTCTAATTAGGATACATTACAGATGGAAGATGAGAGATCGATGTTTTTGTTGCTGGTAGCAGAGAGTTTACTCACTCTAGAGAAATAAACATATCTCAATGAGTTTAAGTAGGCAAAAGGTTGCAATAACTTTATCATTATAACCATTTAAAACAGAATAAAGCCTACATATGAAATATATTAGAGTATGACAGACAGAAGAACACTCACTGTGAGGATTGTGGGTCACAATCCTCACAGTGAGTGTTCTTCTGTCTTCTCAAGACGTTCAAAATTACAGCCAATTTTGTGACACATTTTAGGCTTCTCAGTGTGCTAAAATGATTTGACCAAAAAGAAAGTGTGTGTGTGTGTTTAACGGTGTGGCCTTATGCAGGCAGACCTGCAGAGCGCGGAGTGTGTATTTGTGTGTGCAGCACTGACCTGAATGTCCTGACCAGATTGTTCAGGTCGGTGGAGAAGTCACTGATGGTGAGACCCAGAGGACCGACAATGTTTGTGAGACTGCAGCACAACACAGAGATGAGCGACAAAGAGACACAAATACAACAGAAATGTAACATTTTAACTGTCAGTAAACTTGAGCTTGTAAGTGGAGCCAGAAGGCTTTCATCAGATACAATCACCACTGAATCAGTCAAACTCATCTTCAACTTTGTTTACTGGGAGTTTTCTCTCTTTTTGGCAAATTAATGTGTATATAATAATAAACACACACCAGCTGGTGAGCTTCTCCACTGTGATTCGTTTCTGGATGAGGTGCTGAGCATGAGAGTCAACAAGCGGCAGAGCCGGGTCCTTTGTGTTCTGGTCCTGGACTGTCACCTGGTGAGGGAACAAACAAGATGTATTTGCACGCACGCACGCGCACACACACACACCTTCTACTGATTCTTACAACGAGGCCCTTCATCGACACCCATCCTCTTTTCCCTTCACTCACCTTGCTTCCATGCGGCTCCTCCTCCTCCTCCTCCTCCTCCTCCTCCTCCTCAGGTAGAATCCAGGTCCCCTTATAAAACTCCCTGACTTGTAGCTCCAGCTGCTGGGTCTCTTGCTGCAGCACACGGTAGTCTGGAGCTGCTGCAGATGGTCTCTTCTGCTCCCCGGCACCAAGCCCCTCTGCATCCTCATCGGTCACCTCATCCTCGAGGTCGTCTTCATCCAGCTCCTCCTCTTCCTCCCTCACCTCTTCTTCTTCTTTAACATCCGCAAAAGGCGAGCACAGCGAATGCTCAGCCCCGTACAGGAACTTCAGGGTCTCGTCTGTGCTCCAGTCCTTCAACGTTCTTCTCAGGCACTCGAGGAGATTCAGCCGGATGGAGTCGGGTTCGGCTGCAGCAGTGTGGTTCTTGAGGAGTTCTTGTAGCCCTGCTGCCCCCCTCCTGCTCATACCCACCTGGGTGATGTTGAGGCCCAGCTGGCTGGTCAATGCCGCGTCATGGCCGTCTTGATTCATGTTGATCAGAGTTGAAGAAGGGAGAGTTTTGCTTTCGGTTAAGCTGTTTGGGTCGTCACCCGGTGGAGAAGTGAGTAGATTTGTGTGTTCTGTTTGTTTGGCTGTTAAGTCAACAGGCGGGGGAGCAGTGTGAGTGACCGTCTCAGATAAATTGTACAAATTCATCTTAGCTGTAGCCTCTTCCACACCGAGTTCGTCAGGCAGGCCTCTCTCCTCTGGCACCTGCTCTCCATTAGGTTTCTCAGCATCAGTTCCAACTTCTGTTTTACAAGAAAATGACTCCTGTCGATCCTCATCTTCTCTCTTTTTTCCCTCCCTATCTGCTCCACGACTTCGACGACCCTTAATCTCCTTCTCATCGCCATCCCTCCTCTGTTTCTTTCGCCTCTCCGTCTTCCCGTGATCAGTTTCCTTGTCTTCATCTGTACGTTTAGGCAGGTTGCCCCAGTGCACCCTGGGTCCCTGCCGCGAGGAAACCATGCTGGAGACAAAGTCCTGCTCCTGTTCAATGTCGCTGCTTTCACTGTGGCCGTGGCCGTCTGCAGCAGAACCCAGCTGAGAGCTGTGAGGGTCGACGGGTTGAGGGTTCTCCACGTCCTCCTCTTGGAGACCCCTCTCCAACAGCATCACAACCTCACCAGAACTCCCGCTGGACACACATGGATTACACTGGGTTACATTTAGAACATCAAACATTGTAAGATGTATCCATTAATTAGTTGAATCAGCTCTGATATGTTCGTATTTAAAATATTCACATACAAACACTTAAGCGAATACATACCCATCTCCTTTCTTCATCAATATAATTTCTGGAGGACTGTCAGTGAGACAGAAAGTAAACATGCAGTTTTAATATGCAGAAGATTATAATATTTAATGATCAGTTCATAGTACAGCACACATACCTCTCATGCAGCCTGAGCCAAAGAGGTGTAGTCGAGATTTGGAGCTCAAACTCTTTGGAGGCTTTGTAGCAGAAGTTACTACAAAAACACTTATCACAAGAGAGAGATGCAAACATGTGACTGTTTAATCCAATATAAACACATGTACTATTTATTGTTTCAAGTCCACATGGTGCACTACTTACCTTGCGCTCTGTGATGTCGTACACCTTGTTGGTCTTAGTAGAAATGTTATATTTTTGAGTTGTGATCTGTAAAATTAACAGCAGCACTGAGTCAGATTAGAAGCATTAGACACAATGACATGTGTTACTTGAATAGCACTGATGTAAAAGGCGCTTACCTTGCCCAGTTTATTCGAACATAAGGGATAACCACACAGTTTAGCAATGGATCTCTCCTCAATAGTATCTTTGTAATTAGCAGGAGTGATGAACCATGCCTGTGAAGAAAGGAGACAATAAGAGGAGAAAATAAGATTCTTAGCTTATCCGTTTCCATGTTATTCGAAAACTTAGTCAATTAAAACAAAGCCAATGTGATCAATTACTGCTTCCCCCATGTCAAAACAAATGCAAGCCTGGCACTGGGTGCTTAATTGCTAACATCTGATCTGAAAAAAGACGTGATACAATAAATAACACGGGACAAGGTAGGCCTTACTCTAGAGAGATTTTGTGCCACGTTTAGCAGATGTCTCACTTATCATATATGAGCCGAGGCTTCTGTCGTTCTGCAAACGTGACCTCAGGTGATACATACACAGTCAACCAGGAAGTCTTCAGCCACCTGGTCCTCCAGGAGACGCTCCACTACCTTCATGGCTCTTCTCTCCAGATCAAACTTCCCCCCTAACGTCTCCCTCACGACCTCCCTCCTGACACGAAGATACATACACACACACGCACATTAAAGGAAGTGTTGGTGTTGTTATTGTTAAACGTGCATTATCATCATTTCTATTCAAGTCGAGTAAGCAGAATATTCTAGAACCAAACTACAATCTTTGGTATGATGAAATAATTTCACACCTTCTTGCTTCTTCTTCTTCAGCGGTCTTTGATTGGACGCGTTTCCCACCTGTCACACAAACAACATAATTAAATATGCAAATAGGACTGTTAACTGCTTCTCATATAAGATTCAGTACGTCCCTGTGCTGTGGAAACCAGTAAACCAACTTCACAATATACCCGTGAATACCACTGAAACACGTTTTAACTATTTACGGAAGTCAGTTCGGCTGTAAACATTTTCAGAGAGCCTGATATCGATAAGAGAGAACATGTATTTATTATAAACTGACCTTTATTAGAGGTTTTACCGGAGCCTCCGCTCCTTCTTCTGTCCTCGGTCTCCATGTTGTTTCCGTTTGCAGCAGTTTCAACCTTAACCTATGACGTATATCACTCAACGGAAAGCCCAAAGGGACAATCCAGCCGTTAGCAGCGCTCTGAGTTAGCGTGGTATTTTTCGCCGGGTTGTTTTGGGACATGTAGTACACCTGAGGTGGGTATTTATTTACCTTATTATTGACCTGTTTATCACCTGTATTCAACAACAGTATATACTGTCTGTGACTGTTTTTGAATAGCTAGCATATCACAATAACGAGTTGGTTTTTATCTACTAACGGCTAAGCTAATTCAGAAATATAATCAGTATTCATTGTACTCCGTTTATAGCAGACTGTCCACACATAGCTTATCTGACCTTAACTTTAACACAACCAAGATGCACGAACACATAAGTAATGAATAAACCATCTGATTATCAAGTAATCTGGTGTGCATTATTTTGACATGTGTCCTGTTTATTTTGGAGGACTTCAGTGTGAAGATAAACCCCAACCTGACAAACAGCAGAGATGTCTCTGGAGCAGCTCAGTGATGTGGTCCAGAGATGTGTGAGTCTCTTAAGAATGACTACTCAATCAACTTGCTGTAGTAAAAATGTTTTCTCTCCCTTTTAAATCCCCCATTGTCCCTCTTCACACAGCAAGCCCTCTCTGATGACAGCTACACCACCGAGGACCATGACGTATTCTCCATATCTGGGCGGACCTGCATTGAGGAGGGAAACAGTGTACAGGTCCTCAGTATTGTCCTGGATGAAAAGAATCAGGTACTCACAGCTGACCATTGCTTCACCACGTAGACTGGGAAGTGTTTTGCACATTGCACCGCATAAACACGCCTCCATCCCTCTTTCTGCAGGACATTGTGAGATGTATGGGCTGGAATCTGCTGCCTCCCCTGATCCAGGTTCTGCTGAAGAAACAAAATGAGAAGCTTTCTCCATGCCTTGCCATTTTCAAGCACCTGCTACAGGTTTCTTCTTCTGCTCAACAGTTAACAAAAAAAGATTAGATTATAACGTATAAGATACAACATGAGTTATGATCCACTCACCTAGCAGTTTGTAGATTTGTGTTTGTTGGGATGAAATGGTTCTTTTAAGGGTGAGTTGTGGTTCTCCAGACCTGCAGACCCAAAGAGCTGCTGATTGGCTTGTTGGAGCAGCTGGAGCAGGACGACCCTGACACCATAGCAGAGAGCCTCCACCTGCTGTTGAACCCTCTACAGAAAGGTAAAGAACATTTCTCTGAATATGTAGTCCAGTATAGTTCCATTACGTGTCGACTCAAGTGGAGCCATTTTCCGTTTCACCTGTGCCTTCCTCTCAGTGTTGCTGTGCCTGGGCAGCCGTAAGGCGTCGTCTTTGGGCATGACCCTGTCGTCTGTGCTGGACCAGGTGGCCAAACTGCCTCTACCTCACACCAAGGAGCAAGAGGAGGATGACGTCTTCTCGCTTTGTCGCTGCTGCACCGATCTGACAGACTTTGTCAAGCCTTTTGTCCACGAGGCCAAGTGTCACCTCCTGAACCGCGAGGCACAAAGTGAGAACACGAAGAAGATGGCGGGTGAGCGGGGCAGGCATGAAGAGGACGAGCTGCGTACAGAACTGCTGAAGTTGTGAGTGAGAAATTGGATATTCACAACTGAGACTTGCATATTTAACCCCAAGCACTGATGCCACGGTTGACTCTCTGTGTGTTTATGTTCTGCAGCTCTATGAAAACTCTGAGTCACCCTCTGCTGGAGTTACAACTCAAGGATCCGGACACTCTGGCCGTGTCTCCCCTCAGGAATTTTGCCACAGAGATTTTGGTACGGTAAAATCCATTCTTCATAATATTCTGGGAAGAGCTGATGCTTCCCTGTAACTTTAGATGTTGTGACCCTGTCAGTTATGATATTAATAAGCAAGTGTGTGTGTGTGTGTGTTTTGTACAGAACACCCTCAGTGCTATCGGAGAGTCCATCCCCAGTCTTGTGTTCCAGCCTCTGTTGAAGAGAAAACAGGTTCCGGGCTTTCTAGAGGAGGAGGTGCGATATCCTAAAGAGTCTTTGGCAAGCCTGGCTCACCTGGTGTTTGTCCATCACCTGGCTGCAGATACATTCCCCAGTGTTTTCAGGTAAGATAGACAGAATTCAAACGTTGCTAGACATTAACATCGGACAATACTGATGATGATTCATACTGTTTGAACACTTGTTTCAATATTATTCAGAATGGAAAGTCATTGTTGACGCTCTCTGTGTTTACAGTTCTGTGTTCAGTCTTCGGTGTAATATGGAGCACATTTGCCTCCTCTTGTCCAGGTGAATACACAACAATGTTTTATCTGTTCTGTCTGCAGTGTTGATGTCAGTTGACTTTAATATAACAACACCTGTAATGGCACACATGTTAGTTTGGCAGTTCATCAGTCAAACAGAGCAGCCGCTGATATCTGTAGATGTAGCGTATGTCACTGATGTTGGATGAAACTTCTAAAAACTCAAACTTTTTTTACATTTAACGTTTACATGACATATTGGCAATTGAAACCTTGTATAATTTATTTTTAAAAAAACTCACTGACATGAATTGGGGACAAAAGCATTTTATTCTTACTTCATGAAAAATCAAATTAAGTTTATGTAGCCACTGCTCACACATATACACAACTGCCCTACTGAATAAATGCAGACTTGGATCTACCGGTTTGCATGTGTTGTGTATTTGAGCTGAACCCCTCACAACTTACTTTAAAGTATATTTTATTGACAGAACGGAGGAGTCCAGGATTCAGAAAGGACTGGTGAGTCAATCTGAAACATTTAAATAAAGAGTTGCAACATGCTGTAGATTTGTATTGTGGTTTCCAAATATTCCTCAGGGGGATATAGTCACAAGTGTAAAAAGCACAAATAATAATTTCTTGTAACCTACAAGACTTTTACCTGTTTATTTTAGAGCTTCTGCAGTCTGATGTACAGTGTGTGTGTTTACCGTCACACAGGAGCTGTATGAGAAGAGTCTGGTGTGCTTGGAGGACGGCAGTCTGTCTGCTGATCTGCTGGAGATCAAAACGTTCCTCACAGTCCCTCAGGTGAGCACAGTGAATCATACGTAGCTCAGCTTTTACCCTGTTGGGATTCTCACAGTGTGGCGCTCTTCTGATGCCAAGTTATTGATTTCACCGTTTTGTTTTTCAGAACTTGGTGAAGGTCATGACGATGTGTCCGCGGCACGATTTGGTAAGTGCTCACATTAGTAGGTAGTTTTTGCACTTAGTAGAAGGCGCAAAAAGTACCATTAGCTTCTACTTTTGTGTTGAAATAAAGTCACATTTTATTAGCATCTAATAATCTCTAAATGTAGATATATTAACATATTTGCTTCTTCGTCAACAGAGAACCAGAGGTCTAAAGGTGTTGCAGCTGAGCATCGATAAGTTTGACACTGAAGCAAAGTACAATTTTTTCCAGTGAGTTCCACCTTCCGTCCAGAAAATGTCTCTTTCTCTTCCACCCTCCAGCGTATTGACTTTTACCGGCCGTCTTGTTTCAGGTACATGCTGAACACCAGTCATCACTCAGGAGTTGAAGGCTACGTCATCAAAAACATCAAGATCCAGATAGATAGTGCCCTGCAGGTGAGATGCCTTTTTAAACTTCTTGGGGGCTGTTTGCTCTGTTCGTTTTTTATCAGTTTTGATTCATTAATTAAGAGCTTAATGAGTGTCTTGTACAGTAAAGGTCTGCCTGTCTGTCCTCAGCCAGGTAACAGTAACGCCTGGTTTGAGGGATCTCAACTGCTGCCTTTGCTGCGTAAAGTTCTCAGTCTGCCAGACGGCCCAGAGACCGACCTCCTGCAGTACCTGGACCGGTCAGTACACACGTAACACCCCATCCATCTATTTTCTGTTCCCCTTATCTAGCTCACTGGCACCTATCCCAGCATGCATTACGACAAGCGGCAGGGTGCATGTTACCAGTCTGTCAGTGTACTGACACCTAACACACCAAAGTGAGCTTCCTTCTCTTGACAGCATGAACTGGAGTTAATGTGCATTGCTTAAAGGTGCAGTGTGTAGAAAAACACAACTGGCCCTTTTGTGTAGCCAGTGTTTAGTTTGTCCTTTCTGGACTGCTGTAGGAACATGGTGGCCTGCTCCATGAAGAGGAGCCGCTTTATGTAGATGTAAACGGTTCATTTTAGGGTAATGGAAACAGGATTCTTATTTTCAGGTGATTTTAAATTAACTAAAGAAAACATTCTTAACATTTTATTCCATTTCTGCCAATCGATCCCCCTAAATGCTTCACACTGTACCTTTAATTAATCACCAAAGTGTGAACTAGTGTCGGCTTAATTAGATAAATAAGCTCAAATATTAACAAAATGGTTGTTATGAAGCATTGCTGTGCCTTATAATGAAGTCGTATGAAAACGTGATGAAACTAATAGTAGTTAACTATTAAACTTTACATGATGAAACTAGTTTTTCATCACGTAAATTATTATAAATAACTTTTTCTGTGTTTGACTTAATGAGCCCAACTCAAGGTGCACGTACCATCTTTTTCTGGAGCTTTCAACTGTATTACAAGATCTTATTCAGCAAATGTGAGCAAGTGAACCTTGAGTCAGGACTGTTTAGTCAAAGTACTGTTTTGTGTTGTTTAAAACAGAGTCATGGAGTCTCTGAACCTGCTGCGTTACCTCGTCATCAGAGACAAAGTGACAGAGAACCAGGTGAGTGATCCAGTAAAAGACCAAAATCAGCCACAGTAAAAGATGGTTTAATTCATTTACCTGCCGTTATTTTAAGGGGTCAGAAGGACAACTAAACATCCACGTGTTTCTGATTCCCATAGCGGTCATTTAACTGCACCCATCAGGAGTCTCTGCTGCTGTTTTGATCTTGCAGACGGGGATCTGGACAGAACTGTACAAAATAGAAGACACGTTCCTGAAGCCGCTACGTGTCGGAGTGAATATGTCGAGAGCTCACTACGAGAGGGAGCTCCACGACACCATGCAGACCAAGAGGGGCAAAGTCAAAGGTCAGACCGACACTTGTGTCTATTTCAGTTCCACCTTCATCAAAGGACTCGCATACTCTGGGAATAAAAGCTTTACTACCAAAGCCTGTGAAGAGTCCATGAAAGTTTAAGAATAATACATGAATGTGTGTTTTCAGCAGAGGAGTCTGTGCTGTCTGTGTCTGTTGGCAACGAGAAGCTGCCGAACATGACGTCAGAGTCCCAGATTCAGGTCAGTGACCGTTCTGGTTCATATAACGGTCTCGATTGTGTGTTCGTGCAGCACTGACCTGATTGATTTTGAATGTGTCCATTCAGGCTCTGCACTCAGCCCTGCACACCTTCGACATGATCGAGAGTGTGTTGGTGCGAATAGAGGAACTCACCGAGGTGAAGGAGAATCTGTAGACCGAGCCCACAACAGTTACTACCGGAGGTCTTCTTCTCCTCAGGGCAGAGCAAACAAAAAAGCCTTCAACTGTTCTGTTGATGTATTTTGTAAAAAAAAAAAAAACACAGGAAAAAATTGAGTCCTGAATATATTATTTTAAACAGTTAAATCATACAGTGCTGGTGTGTTTTTTCAGTTGTTTAGTTTGCTGGTTCGTTTAAAATGTTTCAGTATCTATAAAACATCCAAATAATGGCTGCAAAGTTTGTATTGCTTCTGTAATAAACTTTCAAACTCTTGTACACACGAGTTTAAATAAGGTGCTGTTCTATTAAGTGATATTTTCTATGGTAAAAACAATGGATATTGCCTCCGAGGTGCCTGCAGAATAGTTGGACTTAAAATCAGTCTATGAAGCAATTTATGAAATTCACACCTACCCAATAATTACAAAGCTATTAGCAAGAAAAAAAAGTAATAAGTCAGAACTTAATGCTCCATAAATGTAAGATGTTACATACTGATAATAGCAGCCACGTGCTGGTTTTTCCTTCCCTTTATTAAAACATCCAAACGAGAGAGACTTTACATTTACCGTGTTATAAATTATAACTGCTAAAACAGACACTCGTAGAGTAGCATTCATACTATTAAAATGCACTTTTAAATCAAAAGCCCGTTCAAACTTCAGAAATAGTCGCTTCATACAGCGGTGCTAAGGCAGCGTTGACAATAGTGAACAACATACGTACTTTCCCCTCTTAACAAGACCCTGTCCAGAACATAAAAAGGCCAAACTTGACCCGCGGCATCACACTAGCCCACAGTAATAACACGTCCATCCTCAAAGTACTCCGCACCATAGCTGCCATGAACTGCTGACGCGTGAACCAGCAAGTCAAACCCGTCTTGAATGAATATTTATATTAAAATCTATAAAGCATTTAACGGGTGGATGAGAGAAAATGGTGAACTCCTTCTCGCCAGACCAAAATCTCTCAGAACCACACACACACACACACACACACACACACACACACACACACACACACTTTCTCTCCACTTTGCAGCATTATTTCTCTTTAGTGGGCAGACTCAGTACGTGAACCAGAGACTAGGACGCTGGCAGTTCTGTTCTGTTGATGTGAGACTCCTGGTCCCATTTCACAGGTCTTTGAACAGCGGGTGCTGCAGGGCCTGAGCAGCTGTGATCCTGGTGGCAGGGTTCAGGTCCAGCAGCCGGTCCAGCAGGTTGTAGGCCTCATGGGGGACTCTGTCCCAGTCCTGCACGTCCTCCTTCACCTTGCAGTCTGTCTCTGAGCTCTGCTTAAGGCGAGTGGTTTCCGTGTTCCCCGAGTGTTCCCTCTCAGCACTTTCACCTGCTCCACCTTTGTGCTGCTTTAATGTTCCTTCGGTGGGACGGTGTGTGGGCGTATCCTCTTGGACCCGGTGGTGACGGGTGACAGTGGAGTCTTCGTTGGCGTCGGGAAGCGGTGTGACTTCATCATCCGGTGACGGCCTCCGTCCTCTCAGCGTCTCACACAGCGTTCTGAGGTCCTGCCGAGGCAGCACCCGGCTGCATGCCACTGCTTTGCCTGAATGGAGATCAGCCCCAAAAAAACAGGTTCATTATCTACACAGAGCCTTCTGTGCATCATAGGGAGGTTGAGTTCAGTTCTCCTACATTGTTACGCCGACTGTCTGGCGATACACTGTGTTGCTGGATTCATCATAATACAGCAGCAGAGGGGTCAGTTTAAAATGCGAATACACACCAAAGGCCTTGGCAGCCTGGATGGTCTCTCTGGAGCCTCGTATGCTCATGATCTGAGTGAGGGCGATCAGGTCGTCGCTGGCTTTGAAGAACGGGTAGCGGCCACTGAGCAGCGAGAGCAGGATCACACCAGCCGACCACACGTCTATGGCTGCAGCACAGGAGGAGAAGACAGGAAGAGGTGCAACATTAGTAACAACTACAACATGCATTCCCTGCATCGTTTCAATTGTTTGTTTTTTATGACAAAAACAAAGTCAAAGGACAACATTTAGCATTTGTGACGGTTTACACTGACTTCCGGAGAGTTCAAACTATTCTTCGGGAATGTGGTGAAAGAAGTTATTCTGGTGCCTTGCGGTCAATAATAGTTCTTAGAAAGAATCAGCAGGTCAGACCTGAATCAAAATTGGCCAATGGGTGCATCGCTGTGAAAAAGACACTCGCAGTTAAAAACAATGAGGATGAAGTTAACAATGACTGAGAACTGGCAGTCTCCACTTTTGTGTTTTTGCTCAAGACTTTCGGAGGTGAAACAACATTACAGAGGATGAGAGAGAGTGAAGCACTCTTTGTGCTTTGAAGCAGAACATTTCCAAACTGTAAGTCCTTTATGTTAAATGGGCACTTCGTCTGAAATAAGACATCATCATCTATGTTTTAATGTATTCAATGTGTTTGAGAAGTTGTTGAAGTTAGAGTCCAAAACACACGGACGAATTGAACATTGAAAAATAAAGATTTGGATCATAATATTGTGAATGTTGAATCGGCATTCACAATATTAGAGAAGGAGAAAAAAAAAAAAAAAAGAGTACAGGTTTGAGTTCAACAGCAAGCTTTTGCACAGCGGTCATTGCATTTGTGTGATCATTATTCATAATAGTGGTGGTTTGAGGTACACACCTGTTCCTTGGTTGGGACACTTTGTGAGGACTTCTGGTGCTCTGAAGCCCGGGGTTCCAGCTCTGGGAGCCACCTGCGGCTTCCTTTATTAATACAAACAACACAAAGCAGAGGTTTGAACACAGTTCAGTGAGAGAACAGCAAAAACAAAGAAAGTAAATAAGTTGGGTTCACATTTGTGATGAAGAAATATGTTACATACGAGTGGTTTCTCCCTCTTTCTTTCCCTGTTACCTGGACATGCAGATGTTGCAGACTCGGTCAGTCAGGTAGCAGTTACAGGTGAGGCCCTGCTGTACCGTCCTCTGGGGCCTCTGACCGCTGCTCTGGGTCCTCGCAGGCAGCGGGCCCCGGCTGACGGAAGAGCACTTTCGACTGGCTGGCTCCTCTGTTTTGCTGGGTTTTACCGACTGAATCAAAAAAAGTACTTCATGACAATGACCTAACTGAGATATAAACACATAACATTCAAAAGGGTCTCTCTTTCAAGCAAATGTTTATTCATCATTTCAATGGTTTTGAGAAACCTTTTATTCTTCCAAAAATGTACTCGATACCGTGCCTACCTCTGTCTTTATGGCAGCTTGCTTGGTGGTGGATGGAGCGCGAGTGCAGCTGTTCAGGTTCCTCTCTCCAAACACAGGACGGGGCACTTTGCGTAGTCCTGTCAAATCCTAGAGAAAACAAAAAACATGGAAGGCAAAATTTAGCTAAAGCCAACAGAGTAGTTGAGTGAGAAGATAAACACACAGTTTAAAATACCCAGACAGAAGTTATACCCAAAATACAATGTAATTACACAAATTTACAATTCAGCTAAAGAAAAGCCCCAGAAACACCAATAAGGGTGAAATGTGATCAGACACCTTGGTGTGCTTTGTGCGAGAGGCGGTGGGGGTGACAGAGCGAGCTTTTTTAACCAGTGCTTTCTGAGAGGCTGAGGGGGAGGTGGCGGTGGAGGAAGAAGAGCAGGAAGGCGGCAAGTTCATGGACTGCTGTGCAGGCAGAGGCAGTGAGGGTGAGGCTGTGGCGGTGGTTCTGGGAAGGAGTCTTGGTGGTGCTTTGCTACGCTGTGTAGTGTCTGGTTTCCCCGTGGACCCTCCACCTTTTTGCGATGCCCTCTGCCTCACTACCTTCAGCAGCTCAATGTGGGTGTCCGCTGTACCCTGAGCCAGGCCGAAGTCCACCAGCGCGTACCTACACACACATTTAAATAAATTAAGAAATACTTTACACTTTATTCTGGCCCCAGACACCACATCCAAACTACACAGCGAGGTGATAAAAGAAAAGGAGGAATGGGACTACTCACGTTGTGCTGTTCCTGTTGTAGAGGAAATTGTTTGGTTTGATGTCTCTGTGAATGATGCCAAACTGGTGGATGTGTCTCAGGGCCGTCAACAGGTGAAAGATGTACAGACGGACTTCTTCAAAGCTTAATGAGCCAATAATGTCCTGATGAATGCATTTTGATTGGATCAGAAGATTTAAATTACATGTCAGCAAACAATAACCACATGAAGAAAGCTACTAAATGATTTACGTTTTGGGGGATTGCATTACAGATTGTATCGCTGCAGAAATCTGTTTTAGCGGGAGCCACATGCTTGAAAGAAACTAATTGTACTTACAACAATAGCTTGATGTTCCATATAGGGCATGACGATCACTACGTGGTCGTCCTTCCTGAAGCAATACGTCACGCCTATCACGTTCTCTCTGCCTCTGAAAAGTGAGAGAAGAAAAGGAAAAAGGACGCAGTGAGAAACTTTAAAATTTAAAGTTTCTCACTGCATCCTTTTTCAACGCATTTAATAAATGCGTTGAATGTGTGACTCCTCTGTGACGATGTCAATCTTGGTCGGTCACTTCCGACAATCATTTTAAAAACACTGATCAAACATAAATGCACATTCATATAATCAAACGAATGTCTTGCCAAACCAGCCATCAATGTATTGAGGTGCGTAGGTTTAGCTGAATCACACAACAAGGAGCCCACACTAATTTACTACAGCATAAAAATAACCTTTAACAAAATAAACAGTTATGGTGCAATAGTTCTTTGATTCGTTACTTTAGAATTTGTGAGAACACAACTCTCACATATACGTTGAGCCAACACTGTAAGAAGTCAATAACAACAGCGTAAACAATGCATGAAGCAAAGTACATAAACATAATTCATTAAAGAGTTTGAATTAGCTGTTCAGTTCTTTAAAAAGGGAGTCTGACAGTCTGGGGGTCTTGAATCGCTTCATAAACACACAGCAGTGTTGGACTCACCCAGCAACAGTGAGACACTGAAGCTCAGCAGCGATGCGTGTGGGATGGCTGGTTGGGATGAGGTGCTTCAGGGCGAACATCTCTCTCCTCCCATCCAGCATCTGAGCCTCACCCAGATACACCGAGCTGAACGTACCTTGTTCACAGATACACGTCATGAACACTTCAAGTCGAGTCCCTAGTGTATTCATCTTAAACAAAAAATGTATCTGAAGCATGTACTTGCAAACTCCAAAAAGCTGTGTATAAAGTCAGGCAGAGCAAGTACCTTCTCCAATTTTGTCTGTTATGCGGAAAACCTTGGCCAGCTGAGGGACGGCTTTGGAGAGGATCTCAATGTCTATTTCCACTTCCCCTGGAACAAAACAGGAACATAAATATATATATATATATAAGTCATAGTTAAACAACACACTTTTTGAATCCAGTACCATACTTTCTCACTTTGTGTGTTTCAGGTTGTTGAGCAACAAAAGGTGAAATAATGACAAACCTTTACAGGCATGTTACTATGTGAAGTCATTAAGCTGATTATTTTCTTTAGGTCCAACTTACTTGAGACTTTGCTTTTCCTCTGACCTCTGTCTGATTTAATGACACATCCGTCTGTGCTGACGCCTTCAGTGCAGACAGGAAACAGCTCCATCTAAGACAGACACAGACATTGATACAGAGAGTTATGAGGGTGGCAACTTAACTGAAACATGTTAACTGTAAATGTCATTAACTTAGAGAAGTGGCGTTAAGTTGGATACTGTATTGAGAGTCGTATTCACTTGATAAAGTGACTGGTTATTGACAGATAGATAAGAAATGTTGTCGTTTGTCATCCACATAACAAGAAAACTAGCTGTTCGCTGCTGTCTGTCCAGCTAACGTCAGAACAAAAAGACCCAAAACAAAGAGAAACTCACCGCGTTAGTTGCTGCTGTAAAGTGCAACAGTTTCTTCAAACGACAATTTCATGAGCACAGCATACAGTCCTGAGATAATGTGGAATCGACGAAAACGAATATATGTAAATATAACTCGGGCTGCGGCTAAATATAAGAGTTTATTGAGCTTTTTAGACTTTTCCGCCAACAAACTCCGCGCTAAAAGTGACGTCCCTGAAATCTCGCGTTACATCAGCACAAGTCACGCGAGATCAAAGTCTACAGGAACAAGTGTTCTTCTTCTTCTTCTTCTTCTTCTTCTTTTCAGTTTGTTGGCGGACTACAAACCAACGGTTAAGGCATGCCGCTACCTACTGTACCGGAGTGTGTAACATCATGACTTTATGACATTTAACCACAGTAACATTATTATTATAAATTTAAAAAATATAATAAAATAAAATAAATTCATTTAGAAGTGAGATTCTGGATATTAAACCCGTTCCATTCAAACATTTTAATAAAGTGTGTTGATGAATGAAAGTGATAATCAAGGTGATAATTAAACCAAACTCTGAGACCTTGTCAGGTTTACTAACAATAGTGTAAAGACTGTCGTCCAAACCTGCTTAAAATATACAAAAAACTGCCACATTTGTTTGACAGATCACTAAATGTACATTAAATAATCACCAAAGGAAATAAATAAAGCTGATTTCATGGTTAACAAACTACCTATAAAATATTTGCTAAATGTTGAACTTCCCCATCAAAGGATGAAGATTTGTTCACTCATCAATTTACACACATAAAATACTTCACAAAGGTATATCTCATTAGACTACAAGCTGATACTTCTCCCCAAAGACCGCACTGAAGCATTCAATAAACACAGACTTTATTAAATAAATAAATGCATAAATTACATTAGTAACAATTAGAACTAACATTAGAAATGATCTGTTTCATTTACAATATGAACGTATAATAACATGACTTTAAAACAGTCTACAACTCTTCATGTAAAGCTCACTGGTTAACAAAATATGAACAATGACATAAAACACTTTATGTTAATGACATATTCATAGACAAGCAGTACTTCTAAAATATACCATCAAATATCCCAAGGAAAGCTTCCTCTTCTTTGCATTTAGTGCTGCTACAGTGTGTAAAAATGAGGGAAAGGGTTAATCAGGAGAAAGCATGTACTTTAAAGTATATTCAATATATATGATTATTTGCACTACGTACTTAAGGAAATAATATGGTAATGAGTCAAAAACGAAAGCATTGCCATTATAATTGTTTCTACCTTCTGTTGACAGATGAGCTGGTGTTGGATGGGACGCTCATTGTTGAGAAGAAATCAAACCTTCTGGTGAGGGGGGCCACGTGGGTCTCCGTCTGCTTTTGGAGGCATTCTGGTGTTTTGACTGTGAGTTCCTCTCTGAAAGTGCTTGAACTCTGCAAGAGGAGGAAGGGAAGCAGATGTCAGATAAGCCAAGTTAAGGTGTTTAAAAGCACCTTTGATTTAGCTTAACCTGGGAGTCAGTAACCATTTTGATATTAATACATTAACAGAATATTCCTTGCTGCTTCCATGTTTTTATCGACATCTAAATGACTCCCTGGAGATGAAAGATAAAGATTTTAAACTCAATAGGCCCTTTTCACAGCAGCCATTTTAGAATGTCATTGCAAGGTAATCACCGGTGTAACTAAATTAATAACATTAATTACAGCCCTGTTTCATTTAGGTTGGCCACGGCCCTGGCATCATGCATGCTGGCATTGGAAAACAATGAAAAGAGTAAGATGTTCAAAATGGCAGAGCTAAAGAAGTTTACATGGCAACTATGTAAACAATATATTCTCTTTGTATGTGAATGTAGCCACTAACACACACGCACACACACACACACACACACACACACACACCTTGTTATTCCAGTCGAGTGTGACTCTGTTCAGTGGTCTGACTGTAACCAGTGAGGGTCCTTGTTTTGTGATTCCAGGTAAAATCGACCTAAAAACAAATATATGACGAATGTTTTTACTGTCTTAACTACAATATCAAATATTTTTTGAGAGGAGATTGTAAATATTTCACGCATTACTTGATTTCTGTCCTTACCTCAGTGGTGTTCTGGCTGTGGTTACACAGGGTTGGACTTGTGAGTGACTGAGGAGCACTGGTGCAGATGTAGCAGCAATGTCTACACATAAAACAAAGGTAAGAGAATCAAAATCATAACAATGATTGAGGCAAAATCCCTCATAATCATGCCAGAAGTAGAGAATATATGACTTCCCTCCTCTGAATTAAATGTAACTGAGACTTCACTCGACCTGGCATGTTGTAGTCGACACGCTGCTGGACTTCAGGTTTAGCACCGGTTAGACGCAAGGCCAATGACGTCTCGCTGGCATGCACCAAGTTCTCGTCATCAAAGTCGTCCCACTCGTTTCCGAGGTCGAAGCTGACTGTCGGTATTTGTGATGACGAAGCATTTACGCAGTGAGTGCTCTGGTTTGACACGACAGCCGAGCCGGTTCTTCTGCTCTGGTATAGAAGCGGTTTATGGTTCTGACTCGCACCAACACTGATTCCTGAGTTCATCCACACTGAGGAACCTAAACACAAATGAGTTAAAGAAAAATAATGAATACACCATCAAGTGGTGCTGCACTTTGGTCATTCCTGGTTTTGATTTGAAAACAATATCTCAATAAGAAGTTTTTTAAGATCATAATTGTTGGCTTTGCATGTTTTCTACCTTTCACTACAAACTTGAGCAGACAAGTGCTTCAAAGCAGATGGTACAGATGACCATTTGGCCAAAGGATATTAATATATGATATGATTTAGTGATTGCTGAAATTACAAACAAACATAAACACTTCTGTCTCTGCCAAGTTCATTTTGCTTAATCTGCCTTCTGCCATATACAGTATAAAGTTGCATTTTCCATACATCCATTTACTATTTGCTTATCCGGGGCCGGGTCACTGAGGCAGCAGATCCTTAAAATCCTCTATTCAGTTTTGTCACGTTAAATATTGTCTACTTAATCACGTCTTAAAAAAGTGCAGATTAAATTTGGTGTATTAAATTATTTATAATCTTATCTTTACTTTTTCTTTCAGGATTATGGTCAAAGAATAACCTTTTTCATAAACCAAGTCAACATTATCCTCATAAAGCTGCTTATGAATGCAATGCACTGTGCTGTCAAATGAAAACTCTAAGATGATTTACTGACATGAACTGACGACAATGGTGAAGACATTGAAACCGATATAATATGCACTGAACAATAACTTATTAATATGAGATTTGTAGTTAATGTGCTAAAACATGCCAAATCACTAATGAGGTGCGTCTCGTAATGAGTTTGCGTTACGTTTTTTCACGATACTTTGATGTTGAGCACGAGATGCAGCAGGTGTCTGGACGGGCTCCTTCATCATCATGTGCATGTCCTCCACGTAGTCTTCATAATCTGAGGATGAGATACCGAAACATACAGTCACAGATCCTGTGATCGTTGAATCCTACTGCGTTGGGGAATGTGTTCAGTTCAGAGTCTTTAATCTCTTTACTTCTGTCAACATCGCTCAGATGAACTATGTGTGGCAGTTGGAGGCCGTCTTCTCCGGTCAGATCCACAGTCTCAGAGTGTGGTCTGACTGAAGCGTCACAGTGACTTCCTCCGTACCTTCATCAAATACATGAATACAATCCAGTGTCAGCACTTATGATTTCATCGACACTAAACGTATTTTACTGTCACACGTTTTCAGAAGCTAATATGCAGCAGTTGTTAAGAGACTTATTCTAATATTTACACGTATGATCAAAGTCTAAGATGTCAGTGTAACTGTGAATACCAGGAAACAGTAGGTAGCCTCTCTTTGGGTTTGTAAGCAAACTCCTGCATGTTGACAGACTCCTCGCTCATTTTAATCTGAGGAAATAAAACACCAAACACAGATTTATTCAGTTTAGTAACACAGAGAAATAGACTTTTAATGGATTTATAAACAAATAAGAAAGACACTTTTATGTTGTTGTCAGCATAGTTATTATTAATTGTATTTACTCTGCATGGTCTACACCTTTAAACAAAATATTAAATTTCTAAAGTGCATGTCTACATGTCTAGACTTGGGTATTTGTTATACATTTTAATAGTGTTCTCATATCTTAATATACAGTGTAATAGCTGTTCATGTATAACAATTATGTTACATGTTGCATATATTGTGCTGTTCCATTGTGGCTGGTATATCTGTTATTTTTCTTTGCAAAAAATGAACTTCCTCTCTGGTATCATTGACATTTTTTTCAATCTTATCTTCACCAGTGGTGACTTGGCAGAGGCTCATCAGTGTCTTCTGCAGACAAGTCAACATGAAGTGTATCTTGCATCAGTGCACTTTGCATTCTATCCTGGATTAGGTTTGGTACAGCACAGTCTTACAATAATCACAGACTACACATTAAACCGTGTTTATTTGTTTCAATTCAACAACTGTTGTTTGTGTGCGTTTGTGTTCTTCCGCACCTTAAGTCGTTTGACGGGAGTCTGTGGAAGTGTGTCACACCTGCTCCTCAGGTCTTTCAAATAGGAAGAGAAACTGTGCTCTTGATTCGCTGACCTCTTCCGTGCCACGGCTACTCCTACTTTACCTTGAGGGCGGAGAGAAGACTTCTGTACTCTTGACAGCCACAAAAAGTAAAGCACAGGTGCACATAAGTGCACAAAAAGAGACGTACACAGTGAAAGACGAGTGATTGTACTCACAGCAGTCGTGGCCACACAGATCCTTATTCTTGCAGAAGTGGTTGCATTGTCTTTTATTGCCTAAATCTGATAAGAGAAAATAAAACACATCTCAAATCACCACCTGCCTCTGAAAACATACTAAATCGATATACACCATTTCATATTTCAGCATCAACAGAATCATCAGTTTAAGAGTGCAGTGCCTTGGTCTGTAGCAGATGTGGCATTTTCCCTCTGAGCTGCAGCCTGGTCTGTCGACTGTGGTTTCAGTGCAGAGTGCTGTGGTCTCTGTCCAGTCGGATCAAACGGTGTGTTGTAAAGATTATCATTTCCAAACCTCCGGGCTCCAGAGTAGTAGACGTTGAACTTGTGTTGGATGTCCAGGCCCACTATGGGAGAGGAAAAGGCCAAAAACATTCAGTAAGTACACTTCATACATAGCATTGATAGGCA